TTTGAGTGTAGGAAGCTGGCGCAGGAGCGCAGCCAGCAGCAGCAGCAGCGGCGGGCAGACCAGCAGCGCCCACGCCGCCAGCAGCAGCGCCCGCACCAGCGGTTTGCCGCTGCCATTGCCCTGTCAGCCTCAGCAGGGCCCCCGTGCCTGGGGCCACCCAGCAGCGGACGGGGGGGTGTCCTCAACACCAGGTGGAGCAGCCAGAACAGGATCAGCCGGCGCAGCCACAACATTAGCCGGAGCAGCTGCAGCACCAGCCAGGGCAGTGACAGCTCGCAACGCTGGGTGCTAGACACCGGTGCATCTTGCCACCTTACTCACGACTCCTCTGTTCTGCTCGACCCCTACCTGCTGAAGGAGGCCATCACCATCACCTTTGGCAACGGCGGCACTGGCAAAGCCACCACTGCCGGGCACGTGCTGCTGCACACGCCCAACGGCCCCTTCATCCTGCGCGACGTGCTGCACGTCCCAGGCGCCGCCGAGCAACTGCTCTCCGTGCGGCAAGCCACGCGGCGTGGCCTGAGCTTCAAGTTCATGGCCGACGCCTGCGAGATCTGGCAGGTCGACCAGGTCCTGGCCACCGCGCCCTGCCACGGCGACTCAGTCTACACCCTGACGGGCCGGGCCGAGCAGGCCCACGTGGCGCGCGTTGTTGAGCTGTGACAATGCCACGTGTCCAGTCTACACATCCGCTGCACTGATACTCATTCCCGCCTTTCCCGCCCCAGACACCGCACAATTGTGTTTCCCCACCCCATTCCCAGTTGATCGACACTTGTGCCACTCCCTTTCGTGCACCTGACCCAGCCATTATGCTCACCGATACCATGATGCCTTTGTGCCGCATCGTACCCGCATCGTATCAGGAATATCCCAAGTATATGCCGGGAATATGCTCCTCCACCCCAGATCTATTTAACGCCGCCTCTAGTGCGAATTTACTACTCTTGCTGCCTTTGTAAATACCTCCCGTCAACAGGTTATGGGCCCCAGTCCCCTCCGCTGCCCTTGAGTCCGGCACCCGCTCTTGCCGTCACCCCAGACGCCCTTCCCGCGCACCGGCACCTTGCGCCCCACGCCACGGCCCTTGCGCCCCGC